CGGACGCAGCTTCTGCAATCGCTGTAAAGGGACTGAACGGCCCGCAATAGCTGACCCTTGATCCCATACTCCTGCAGCACTCCCCACAGTTTTCCTCGGGGTACACGGTCGTAAGCTTTTTCAAGGTCCACAAAGCACATGTAGACATCTTTGGCATACTCCCAATGTCTCTCGAGGATCTGGTGGAGAGTGAACAGCTGGTCCGTGGTGCTACGTCCTTCACGAAAGCCGCACTGCTCCTCTTGGATGGCATCACTCACGACTGCCCGAGTTCTCTGCACCAGCACCTTGGAATAGACTTTACCAGGTGTGCTGAGAAGAGTGATCCCACGATAATTCGTGCACTCCCTCGAGTCCCCCTTCTTAAAAAGAGGAACCACCACACCGGTTTGCCAATCCCTAGGTGCCGTTCCCGTTTCCCAAGCAGCCTGACACACACTATAAAGCCACGAGCTCCCATCTGTACCCATTGCTTTCAGAGTCTCCGCCCAGATTTCATCCACACCAGGAGATTTCCCATTCTTCAGGCTAGCAATGGCCTGCAGAACTTCCTCCATGGTGAGACTAGTCTCTGCTCTAAGAGGCTCCAGGTCGGGTAGGTCAGTGTCCACTGTTGGTGGGTTTAAGAGCTCTTCAAAATGTTCCTTCCACCTCCCAAGTATATCCGTCTTGGCAGCCAACACCTCCCCATTCCTGTCTTTGATGACCCGGAGCGTATGTTGCCTGCCTTGCCATAACCTTTGGATGGTTTCCCAGAACACCTTCATGGCAGTGCGATAATCTGATTCCATTTGATCGCCTAATTCCTTCCACGCCTCCTGTTTCGCTTTGGCCACAACACGAGCAGCAGTTCGTCGCGCCTCGGTATAGCACACCCTAGAAGAATCAGACCTACTGGACATGTACGCCCAGTAGGCAACCTTCTTGGCAGTGACAGCCTCGCGCACCGCTGGTGTCTACAAGGGCGTTCGCTTGGCGTTACCGTGAGCCACTCCGATGCGCTTCTCCCCACACACTCTTGCTGCCGCCGCCGAAACACCAGACCAAAATAGAGTCCATTCGATCTCTATATCTGACGTCTGGGGAAGCAGTTGGGAGTACTTCTCTCCGATCTCCCTCGCAAATTCGTCACGAGTGACGAATTTGCATCGCGAAGGGCTTCCCACCTCACTCGTCCTTCAACGCGTGAGGTTCTCTGCCTCGTTCTGAGATTCGCTCGTATCCGAAGTTTGCTGACCACTAGATGATGATCGGTGTCATAACCATGTTATAGGGGCTTCCGTTGAGGGTGACCAAGACGAACCAAATCTAGCATGATGAGTTCGGCTCGGGTACTCCATACTGGCTCAGTTGTCGTCCAGGATAATCAGGACTGCGATAGTTACTGTGCGGCCAGGGTGACTATTGATAAATTGGCTACTGGGGCCGGACAATCCGATGTCTCTGGGTGCGTCGGACCCCGTCATGCTACATCCAGGCCTATCTGTCGGCTTGCCACCGGCCATAGCGTACCCTCGGCACGATCCAACAAGGGCAGACCAGGAGCGGAATCGAACGGTAAACGACTTTGGCAACGGACTCTGAACATCGGGACTTGGAACATGCTAATACTGCATGTTATTGTAATGCTATTTCAAGAAAAACTCGATATTTCTTAGTGCCAGAAAAGTATGAAAGTAATCCCCTGTTTCATGATAAAAGAAATCACGATTCGTCCTATTCTATTATTCCTTCGTTTCAAAGTCGAAATCGACTTTTCAGTTTGTGAAAGGTATCTTTCGCGTCTTCTGAGGCATGAGGGGGTTCCACTTAATTCAGGGAATCCTTCTTTACATTAATTGCTCGATGATATCCTGTTTCTTGTCTGTTTCTTGCTGGAGGAACTGAATCTCATACAACTTCAAACTTTGGATTAGAAGTTTAAAAAAGAATGAAGAGCCCTGGTGTGAAGTCCTTTATTGCAAGTCAGTCAATCACAGCGAGATCTAGATCGCTAAATTTCTTAATGGTTCCTGCTGTTGATATCACAGCCGGCATTCTCAGGCCAGTCGCAGACCTGGAGTTCTGCGTTAAAGTGGAGACCTGCAGGACATGGCATGTAGATGGCCGTCCCCCAGTTGCATTGACAGAAGCTTCCACAGTCGAGGGGATTCGGAAGATGCAGGGCGAACTCTCCATTCTGGGCTGGACAATCATCAACCAATTCACAGCCTCTCTCCGGCGGGAGGTCAGGAGTCGTAGGTCTCGTAGTGGTAGGTGCGCATGTGGAAGTCGTGGTGGTAGG